TTGATCATTTTGTGATTGCCAAACGGTGTCTCATCTGATTTAGAAAAAACCCGAGTTTTGGAGCATTATCCTGCCCCTCAAAATGTAAACGAAGTTAGAAGGTTTGTTTCATTTTGCAACTACTATAGGAAATGCGTATCCTCTTTTGCAACAATGACTATGCCTTTGGATTGTTTACTCAAGAAAGACGCACCATTTGTTCCGATTTCAGAGTGTCAGAACGCATCCGATTTTCTAAAAACTTCATTAATAACATCCCCAATACTTCAATACCCCAATTTTTCTGAATCAAATGAATTCATGTTGCAAACAGATGCATCTGATGTAGCTGTAGGAGCAGATTTGTATAATAAAAATATGAAACCAATCGCATACACTAGTAGGTCATTAAATAAAGCAGAAAAAAATTACCCAGTTATACAAAAATAATTAACAGCATTTGTGTGGGCAGTAAAATATTTCAGACTATACCTATTTGGCAGAACTTTTACCATAATGACAGATCACAAATCTTTGATTTACTTATTTTGAATGAAGGATCCCTCTAGTCGGTTGATAAAGTTTCGATTAATTCTTGAAGAATATGATTTTAATATATTTATGTGAAAGGTAAAGACAATGTTGCGGCAGGTGCACTATCTAGAATTTGTATAACGTCGAGTGAGTTAAAGAATATGAAAGAACAAGTCTTGGCTGTGACAACTAGAGCGCAAAAGAAAAAAAATGGAAGAAGATGTAAACATTAAAGGGGTTGTGACTAATAATGACACTTACGAGTGGTCTGATCAATCACGAGTCGTGGAATTATTAAGACAACCGTACGATTCTATTGAAATGAAATTAGTGAAAGGAGATATTATAAAAGTATTAAAAAAGACTTAGTCAAAGAACAAATATTGTTTTATTTTTGTGAGATAATAAAAGTAAAAGAACTATGCATAGAAAAAGATGGTAAACATTAAGAATTTGTAAAAGGTTTATGTATTAAGTAGTTTATGAATTAAAACATTAAATGAGTGGACCGGTCCTCGGATATGTTTTCTGAAAGGAATTGAAAGAATTTACGACAGTAAAGGAAAACAATTCACTTTGAATGATTGTCATTTACTACCTACTAGTAGGCATGCTGGAATAAATGGAATGGCGAATAACATAAAAAGAAGATATTACAGGCCAGGATTAGACGCAGATGTTCGAAAATTTATAAGTACATGTAAGATGTGTCAGAAAATGAAATATAATAGGTATACCAAACAACCAATGACTATAATTACCACGGCGTCGACTGCGTTCGAGAATTTTTTTCTTGATCTTATGGGTCACTTGAACATGGATGAGTACGGTAATTGCTATAATTTGGCACTTCAATGTGAATTAACAAAATACAGTCGACTCTCGTTAATTCAAACATGCGATAATTCGAACCTCTCTATAATTCATAGTTATCACGAGTTCCCTACAAAATCTCTTTATATTTCGAACTAAATCAATACATTTTTATGCACTTGGTAATTCGAACTCATTGGCGTCAAACACTCGACAATTCAATGTTGCAGAGAAAAAGAGACAGAAGGATTGTAATTTGTAAGTACATTTCGAGATAAGTTCAAACTTGTATTTTTATTTAATTTTATTTAACAAGTACACTTACAATACACATATATAACCATCACGAAAACATACACATTTCTACACTCTCTGATATGTATATCAATTACAAGGGTACATAACATTCTTGTATCATCGTTTCGACGATACATCAGAACCTTTGGTAGATGTGTCAGTTAAGGAAACAAGAGCTTCATTTCATACCTTACAAAGCTTCTGTCTACAAAACGAAAGTGATGAAAAAGCATTTCAGGCACTTTTTCCTCTAAAAAGTTATTGAACAGTCTGAGTCTGAGTCTTACCAGGTCGTCATCCATCCATCCATCTAGTGGGGGACGCCCTAAACTTCGCATGCCGGTACGAGGCTGCCACTCGAGAACCTTTCTTCCGCATCGGTTATCGGTTCTTCGAGCTATGTGGCCGGCCCATTGCCACTACAGCTTTCTAATCCGTTGGTCACTTTAGTTCTACTGCGCATATCCTCATTTCTAAGTTTATCATACAAAGAAACCCCGAGCATAGCCCTCTCCACAGATCGCTGAGAGTTTTTGAGCGTCCTCAAACGGCCAGCAGTGAAGGACTACGTCTCAGATCTATAGGTCATCACTGGCAACACGAACTGGTTGTACAATCTAGTTATGAGGTATGCCTGACGATAAGATGTGTCGCAGTTTCCCGGACGCTGCCTAGCCGAGTTGAATCCGTCAATTGACTTCTCGGTCGAAGTTGGACTTACCTAGTTAGACTGTTTGTCCCAGGTAAACATACTCGTTAACAACTTCGAGCTTAGTGCTCTCAACAACCACCGGCATAGGTGTTATATGGATATTACACATGACTTTTGTTTTGTCCATGTTCATCTTATGACCTATCCGTTACCTATCCGGGGAGACACCTCCAGTGATTCAGCCATAAGGACTATATCGTCGGCAAATCGAAGGTGAGTGATGTACTCGCCATTGACGTTAATACCGTATCCTCTTCAGTACAGTAGCTTGAAAACGTCTTCCAATGCAGATGTGAAGAGTTTTGGGGATATTACGTCCCCTGTCTTACACCTCTACCACCTGTGCAGTTGGATAGGTTTCGTACTCTGGTTCAGTACTCGAATAGCCATCGTAGCTCTAGTGTACAGCACCATCCAAATTTTGACGAAATCAAAGGCTTTATCATAGCCCACATACCCAAGACAAAGTGGTAGATTACACTCTTCGGGCTTCTATATATTTTGCGAATGGTATATATGTAGTCTATGGTGGTAAAGCCTTTCAATAAACCGGCCTGCTCGGCAGGCTTGAAATCGTCGAGTCTGCGTGCGCGACGATTCGTAATGACTCTCGATAACAGCACGTACGCGGCTCAGAAGGAAAATCGGTCTGTAGATCTTCAAAGAGCGTTGTCGCCCTTCTTGAAGAACAAGACCACCACACTTCTGCTCCTTGCCCCTCGAGTAGTGCCACCATGGAGGACGGAATTGAAGAGCTTCTGAAGGACTTTAAGTATCGGTTTCCACCCGCTTTCAAAGCCCTGTTGTAATTTCATCCTCATCCGGGGACTTGCCGTGTTTAAGGTGCTGGAGAGCTATTCTAATCTCGCTCAGATGTTCGGGATATCATGGGAATAGTATCAAATAAAACTTGCTCTTGGATCGTTACTCACACTTCCGTGTCGCCAGCCATGGCGTGTACAGCCGCCCATAGAACGTCTCAATGTCACTCAAAATATCAGGTGTCCCGGAAAACATCCTGCCACATTCGGTCTTCAGCTTTGTCTGTTGGCTCTTTCTAGCAGACAGATCTCTGGAAAAGACTTTGGAGCCCTGGTTCCACTCGATCACTTTTTCAATATGCGCTGTACTGAAGTTACGTAAGTTCAGCCGAATTCATTTGGAGATCTGGCGGTTCAGTTGCTTGTATGCTGTCAAATATGCTGGAGACTGCAGCTTCACCTCCCGTCTAACAGCCATGAGATTAATAATGTGTTCGGAGAGTTTTTGTGTTCTTCTGCGGTGAGTCTTACAGAACTTAACTCCGATCGCATGGACAGTTTCTACAAGCTTGTCATTCATATCGTCCACTTCATTGCAGTCTTCTAGGCACTGAAATCGATTTGGTAACTCGAGCTGAAAGTTTGCGGGGCCTTGGGTAAGAGTACGAGGGGGACGGGGCGCTAACTGCATGAGACGTGACCTCTCCAATTTCACGGTTAGGTTCAGTGTGTCTCTCACCATCCAGTGATCACTGTCAATTTTCACCCTTTCGATCTCTGAGACATCACTGAACAGTCGTCTTCGGTCGTCATAATGAAGTCAATCTCATTTTCTATTGAACCGTCGGGGCTCGATCAAGTCTACTTTCTGTGGGGCCGATTTTGAAAGAAAGAATTCATAAAGAGTTCATCATGAAGAGTGCATTTTTCTCCATAAAGTCGGCCAGCTGCTGACCCCTTGGGTTTCGTTGCCCTATTCCGAACATTTGTGTTTGTTTGGTGGTACATGGTAGATCCACGATACAGCTATATTATAGTTGTAATACGAATGGGTCGGCTCGACCGGGGCAGGACCACGCTCTCACAGAATACCAGCGTAAAATAGCAGCATTATGCTGTTGTGTTTCGTATGGTGAGTGTAGATAACCGGAAAACCTTTTACTGGAATTGAGACATTCCATCTTAGTCCTCAGGGGTGACAACGCATTTGCATTTAAATTCCTAATTGAGGATAAATATGGATGTCTACGGGCCACAGCATCTACTTACCATCACGGTGGACTGTATGCTCGTTTATCACCCAAAGAAAATCTTTAAAACTATTTATTATATAATAATTATAAATCTTGAAATTAAATTTGAGGAACAATTAAAGGTGAGAAACGACGTTTCGTTTACAATCCGGCACCCGTGGTCACTAGACGATTGCGGTGTTTAACGGCTCAATGTCGTAGTTTTCACAACTTAGTTAATAATTTTCTGGATCTCATTTATTCGATAAGAACTTAATGTATCTTGAAGTATTGCAGTGGTATACTTAGCTTGGGATTTAATTCTCATTAGTTATAGGACCCCAATTAGAGCCATTTTCTTTTTAAAAAGTAGAAGTTTTGTATTTATTTAGTTTTGTTTAAAATAGCCTCGCAAACAATTCCTGGTTACGGTTTATGTAATAGTGGGGGCGAACATGAGCATGTTTGCATACTACAAACTTTCCGGAGCAACGATTTGTCACATCAGCTTTATGTTCTTTTACGCATGTTGTCATTGATCTTTACCGCAATCGACTACACCTAATTATATTACAGTAACTGGAGCTCAGGTAGTTGTGTTGGGAAGTTGTTTAAAATAAACATAGTCGATGTATCGATTAGATTATTAACAAAAGGATTCCATCAACTTACTTAACATATTTGTGATTGGTCACCATCGAGACGCACGTGATCATCGAACGTCTCTGACTCCCGCCACTCCAGTGCATTTGCGCGATATACAGCGTTTTCTATCCACACTGCAATGCGGTCGGATATCGCGACCATGAAACGGGCAAGGCGACCAGGATGCGAGCGTGACGGTTTTGGCTCTCCTAAAGAATAAGAGTGAAACATTTCTATTAAGTAACAGTATGTCGTGTCGGCATAAGCATCACCTCATCTCCTCTCATGGAAATCTCTTCCCATCAGAAATGGAAGTATTCCGAAAACTGTCTCCATAAAAAACGAGGCCTATGATAGAAACCAGCGTATAAAATGCGAGACGATCACATCTACAAGTATGTATTTGTTTATTTAATAAATATAAAAGAACACGATGATCGCCAATGATGATGTTTTTATTTACACTAGCTGGCATATGGTGCGTTGCTGACGCGTAAGAAATAATTGTGTTGGTAAATGTCATGTTAAATTTGAAAGAATTGTTTCATTAGCATTAATAATTACATTCATTGAAATTGTAAGATATACCTATAACTTTCAAGCAAGTACCTTAATTTTTAAGCTATTGCAAAGCTTCTATCGCGGGCCTTGAGCGCGGGTACCGAATCCAGAAATTCCGTAACGAAAAAAACCTCACGCTCCCCACTCCGACGGGCACGGAGGTGTGGCATTGAAAGCCGTGCATCGTCTAACGTCGTTTCAGTTCGGCAGACTTCGGCACTCGGCAGAGTTCGGCACGGTGTTTGTGTGCGTGCGACTAGACGTATGCGTGTACACTAGCTTCTAACTCAATGATAGAAATTCCTGAATAACCTACATGTATTGTAAGATATTAAAAATATTTTAAACAATATTAACTTCTCATTTATTCAATAAGAGAAAAAAAAATGTTTTCTTATCGGTCACCAAGCTCAAAAAGTGTAACTGATTTAATATCAAAGACTTAACTGCATAAATAAAATAAATAAATAATTATAATTGCATAAGTTGATAAAAAATGCTATGTAATAGCTTTACCGCGGCAGTCACCGAGTGCCACACGTATTTTTTTTTCATTTACTTATCACATGAACAACAAATATTTTTAGTGATAGCATTAAAAAACCACTAAGGTTTATACCTAAGCTATTGAGAGTTTACAATTTTATAAGATGATAGTATAGCGTTATAATGTATTGCAGATACTATAAAAAGGAAAAACAAAAACATTTAATAAACATGCAAACAATAAGAAAATGACAAAACATGTTATAATAACTTAAGAAAGTGACCCTTTAGCTTATTACAGTTACACTTAATGTAGCTCTACATGTTCGCTCCCCGTACGCATTGTAAGCACGCGGCTCGCTGAGACGGTTCTTAGATATCTCGAGTGTACAATACGGGATGCTAAATAGGAATTCTTAGCGATTCATTAAAAATTGTCCTTTTAATAAAATATTTTGTGCTTGTATGTGTATTGGTAAAATTATACAATATTTGAAGAGTTGTTAATTTTTGCGAAGTGCAAGCACTAAGTTCATAAAGTTTTATCGCAAGCTGATGAACGGTATGGTAGCGCATAAAATACAAACATAACTTAACATAATAAATTTCTACAGCAGATTAGTCTAACTAGAACCTTTTTATTAGGTAACTTCAAAAATGAGGAGGTTTAAAATCCGAATTATATATACGTATACAAAATGTTACGCGATAATTTTATTAATTTTGAACCGATTTTGATGAATCTTACTTACTAAAATTCAGAGGTAGGGTAGCAAAATAAGATATGATTTTTAATGTAACTATTTAGGCGACATTGTGATTATGATATTCCATATCAACAAATCGTGAAACTTAAACAATTCATTATTTACCAAGTATTTCAGCAACACGCTCCAAAACGACATCAGCAATACTTCTCAATCTATTGGAGACCAACATCTCTTTCTCTCCTTTAGCAATGTAGTCACATAACCGATACGCCACCTGGAATATACACGGGTGCTCATAATAATGTAAACGCAATATAATACTGAACATGGTAATATAAAATAAAAAAACTATGTATGAACACTGATAAATTACTGTATTGATAGTAACAAAACAGCAAGAATATTTCATTGCACAGAAATGAAAAAACATTCAGACCACTTTTACAGAAAAGGCCGTTATACTAAACATCTAATTGATTTATCTGGTTCTTTTGCAAGATACACTTCAAGTTAATTACTAAAACACACATCAGAAAAATGCACGCGGTAATTACTATCAGGCTGCAACTATATTATAGTTGTAGCACGAATGGGTCGACTCGACCGGGGTAGAACCACGCTTTCACAGAATAACAGCGTAAAATAGTAGTGTAATGCTGCTGTGATTCATGTGGTTACTGTAGTGCAGAGAACCGGAGACCATTTTTACTGGAATCGAGACATCCCATCTTAGTCCTCATGGGTAACAACGCATCTGGATTTTGATTCTTAATCGAGGATAAATGTAGACGTCTATGGGTCACAGCATCCACTTACCTTCACATGGACTGAGCGCTTGTTTGTCATCCTATTCTATAGAAAAAAATTGTTAAAAAAGACGGGGGTGGTCGTAAGATAAGACCGAACGAATGACGCCTGACTCGCTAATACTATTTCACTTACACTATGGGGTACTTTTCTGTCTAAGACTCCGTCTCTTCATCAAGCAGCAGAGCCGATCAGAAAGGTTAAGAATTCAAGTATAACTACAGGCCGTGGGATACTCCATCTTGATCCTTAGAGACACGTCCGTAGAATTCTTTGTTTAAGTATGTTGCAGGTTGCTTACCATCAGATGCACTGTAAATTTCGTTTATCACTTCCATTTTATAAAAGAAAAAAGCGGTCAAATAATTTCACCACACGATAACAATTAACATTCTGTAGTATTTTGGTTGTATTATGTTAATAGTAATATTCCTCCGATTCTATTACACAGACGTTATGAAGAGAAAACGCTTCCGTGTTACCGCGTACACTATCTACATCATCTAAGCATCAAATGATAATTATAATCGAGGAAGCTGATTTGCCTCAAATCATTAAAATTAATAATGGTATAAATAAATTTTCATTTGTTATATTTTTATATAATATTTTCATATTTATACCTGCGCGCTAAAATCAATGAGCCACTTCTCTCTCTGTCGAAGTTCGCGCTCCATCTCGGCCTTTTCCTTGCGACTGACCGTTTCATTGAGTCCTGACCATCGTTTGGATTTATTCAATGCTTGAAAGTACTGTTCTGTTTGCCTGAATATAATCGTGTAAATTTTATTTCATAGTCCATTTTAACAAAAAAGCATTACACCTACACTTCACAAACATAAATTGCACTTGAAAAAACATCCGGAACCGACAACCAAACAATTGCTTGTAAACAATACAAATACTTCGAAATCCAATACATTGCCCTCTGCACCGCAATAGCTTAGCCTCTAATCTACCGGGTCGTCATTTTGTTAATTATTAATACAATATTATTACAGATTATCATGCAATATAACCATTCTCACCTTTATTTTTCCATACTATAAATGGCAGTATAAAAATGCCATAAAGTCTGTTACAAATCATCGACCCGAGCCTTTGCATATTTTTCAGCCTTATGTCGAATTCAGTGTGAATTGAGTGTAGAGAACCGGAGAAACCCTTTTTTACTGGAAACGAGGCATTCCATCTTAGTTCTCATACAACGTGATAGATGTAGATGTCTATGGGTCACAGCAACCACTTACCATCAGATGGACTGTGTGCTCGTTTGTCACCACATCCTATAAAAAAAATCAACCGAGTTTTACGACTCCCGCGGCACAGCAGTATTGGTCACCACATGTAGAAATATCGCTATTCATTCATCATCAAGCATTCATTACATCCTATCTAAAGTTCATTGCTGAACATAGGCCTCCCCCTTACCTCATAGAGCAGATATTTGTCAAACAGTCAAAGATGCCACGCTTAGCAGGTTTTTCAACCGCAGTTTATTATTATTATTATTGAATTGGTATCACGAAGATGCTCCGTGTACGAGTTATCTTGTTTCAGTTTGCCTATATCGCCTTTTACAACACCCTCTGGATATGAGGTAGCAGCTCTTACGTCGCCACTACACGGATACACCACTGTTAATAGTGCTTAATATAGCGCATAGCGCCATATTATAGTGCGCTATCTCTTCATAACACATAGCGCGTGTTATGTAAGTAGTCGCTAGGGCGCTATGGCGCTATTAAGTATTAATATCTAGCGGCAACTAGTTCTAGCAGCAGCACTGTTAGGAGAGGACGTGTGAAGCAAATTTGATCTAGTAGCACTATTCATCGCGCGCGACCTAATTTAGTATTAGAAGTTGTTTAGTTAGTGCATACTGTATATTTATAAGTGATTGAAGGACACAGTTGTCTGCTATAAAAGAAGCCTAACTAATGTTTTTAAATGTAAATAAAATATAGATACAATGTATATAAAAGTTTATGTAAATAGTTGATTTTTATAAATACAATCAATAAACTTTTAAATACACAGTTATTTGATTTATAATTTATATTAAAGTTAAAATAATGTTTACATCAATTATAATGAAAAATTAATTATAGTATTTCGTTTTAAAAAGTACATACCTTAAAAATATTTTTAGGATTATAGAAAGTCGTAAGCCTGAAAAGTATGAAAAAGCGTTCATTGGTTTTTCTTTACCGCTTTATTTTATTTTAGTCTAAAATGCGACTTATTACGAAATAATGTTCTTATATAGCACGCGGTCTATCCAATGAACGACATGTAATGTAACGTGCTACGAGATATAGCGTGCTGCAAAACTTAACGTGCTTGCCGGCCTCATGCACGCTTTCTTATATATAGCGCGCTATAACATAGCGTATTTAATAGCGCGCTAGAAATTTATAGTTTATAGTCTGTAGCGTGCTATTGACTTATAGTCGTTTTGATCAACTTTACCCACTGTAATATAGTTAATGTTACAGTAACAACAACGTAAAATGTTCCTATGTTCGTAGACATCTTCATCAGCCTCACTTGGGCTTCTCCCGTTATAAGAAAGATTTGTCATATTGCCACGCTAGGCAGGTGAATCGACGTTCGTAGTACCGGATGCATCGCAACTTAAACACTACTCTCCGTCGCCGGTTTGAGCAGAAGCAACAGTATCCTACTCAGGTCATGGGTTCGAATCCGCCATTCATCTACGGTCGTGAACCACTCTTAACATAAGCATTTTAACATAATTGGCGTGGTTAACGAGAATATTAATTATACTAATAGCATTAGCACTGCCTTTAATCTATAACAAAAAAAATATTGCACCCGGCGTTAATGAGATAGTTATTATGCCATCTGATGGCATAAAATCTTTATGGCATAATTCATAGTCGTTTTTGTGACGCACGGGACTAAATGGAGTAAGCTTAGTAAAATAACAAAATCCTGCGTAAAACTAGATGTATACATACTCTGGGCTAAGAAAATAATCTTCTTCTAAAGCACTCTTGATCTTATCTCTTCGATCTGCTGGCAATATGGCACATTTCTCATCCCAGAGAGAACGGAGTCGCCTCGGAGTAGGCCTAGCGAGCATTTCAACTCGCTCCATATTCCGTCGCAAGCGCGGTGACAAGCGAGAAGGTGATTCGGCTAACCAAAATATTATTAAAGAAATGGTTTTTATTTTGTAGTATTTTCATTTATAGAAAGAAAGAAAAGAGTAAATAAAGAAAAACACACTTTATTTTGGCAGAGACCATTGACGTACAACAGTATACTAATTTACAACAAAGAAAGGAAAATTAAATTTTTTAGGCTTTGTACGTCGAAGGCATGCCAAGAAAAGATCATTAGTCAGCAGTAGTTGTGACGAAACCATAGAATACTATAATACATACATAATAGAACGGGGGAGTGGGCGGAGCCCGCGTAGCCACTAACATGTCAATTCACACCTATAAATGTCAACACAATCAATCGTTTCCAATTTTGGTGTCAGGTGTCGCTGCATGCAAATTATTTAAAAAATGGCCAATTGTGCAATAATTACGTGTCGTAAGAACACCGGGAAATGGAATTTAAATAAACGAGATGTATTCGACAACCAGTAAGTCGAAACTATTTATATTTTGTGAATATTAGAAACAAAAATAAATAAATATTTTTGTGTCAAAAACGTTAATCAAAAGTCTAAAATGTGTTTGTAGTAGTGATAATTGATAATACACAAAGGGAACAAAAGCACAAAGGCAATAAAAAAGAAGCAAGTTAAGAACAATTTTTTTTTCAATCTACTACAGTAAATTAGAAATAAAATTTATGTTTAATTATAATTCATATAACGACAAAAAACCAAAAAAAATTCAATGAAACATGATAGAACAATGCGTGACCTATTTTCTGTTTTGTTGTTGGTCTATCATACGCAAGACCCAAACTGCGCCATCACGTCATCGGATGTAACCGAACACTTTCGAGGTTACGCAGTTCCATCGCCAGTTACTTGAAACTGATTATAATGACTTCATATATGGTTTGTTTGGGGGGAAAAATCCCAAGGTAGTGTTTTTGTTAGAAATCGTCTTCCGGTGTATAGCATGATATACTGGGTGATCAATTTTATAATATGATAATATGAAATAAAAAAGTTTGGAAAATCCTAAAGTGCACGCCTTATAATCTCATTGGATTATACAAAAAGAAAAAATATCTCTTTTTCCATATTTGAGACGAAAGAAGAGATCCATGAGAATATAGAAAAAGTAAATGTATCTATATAGATATACAAAATCCAACGGAAAAGTACCAGTTGTATTTTATATTTTCATTAATTACTATTAAACGAGACCAAATTACTCAGTGATTTTTAAAAGGAACCTGTGCGTTGAGATTCTAAACCTAATAAATAAAGAATTATTTTGCTACATTAATTTTAACGATCGTAATCGTGCGCCATCCACACATACAGACATCCGTACACCCTCGAATTTTTTTTCAATCAGTTTTTTTACACTAATTAGTTTTTTACACTAATTACTTTTAGAAATAACAGAAACATGAAAACAAGTGATTTTTCTCAATATATGTGTATTTTTATTATTATAAAAGTGCAATAATAAAAAAATACATTTTTAGCTCAGAAAATTACTGGATTTCCATTAGGTGAGAGTAGACCACAACCTCGACGCTTCGTTCCCGAGAGAGCTAAGGCGCAGGACAAATAACACATAATTTAATAGCTTCTAATTCTAATGTCAAAGTCTTCAACACACTTTGTCTTTGCACTGTTTGGACAGCCGAAACCAGGTCGTTTTCTGACTACATTAGTTTAATAGTAAAAGCGTACGATTTATTGGCATTTATAACATTTGAAATGTGATATAAAACACGTTATAAAACAAAAATAACAACACACGAATAGGGAGTATAAAGGCCCGTGGTGAAAGTTAGTAGGCCTTAATAACCGTCGACCAAGTATTTAAGAAAAACCAATTTAAAAATATTTAACGACGATACGTTATTCAAATCTTAAAGATCAACAAAGCATTTATTCACAAAGATAAAGATTACGATTTTAGATCGCCAAGTTTAATATTACAAAACATATCCAATATTTATTTGAACTGATTTTTATTTTTGGGGTAGCGTGTCTCTGGCAGTAAGAGTCGCATAGACTAACAGCGAAAACATCTCGAAAATATGCCTTATTTGCCGACAGGCCTTATTTACTAGCAGGTACCCTATACGTTGGGACCTCAAACACCACAGTCCCCCCTATGACCTGTAAAGTACTCGCAACTTCGGGAATATAAAATAAGTAGGAATACGCGACAAAATCGGTAGTGTAAATTTAAATTTAAAAAATCATGATAATTGTAAACAAATCTAATATGTATGTCGTAAATATTAGGAATGGAAGGTTAATTGTTAAAAATAGTAAGTGTGAGAGCGGATATTTAACTTGCTCTCTTGATTACGCAATTAATCATTGTCAGTAATAATAAGACAGTGTAACGCAATATACATTCAGGGTATGTTCCGAAACGTTTTCAGTATACTGCCGAATACAAATGACGTCATCCATTGACACTATATTGTACTGCCACGGTAATATTATCTATACAGTATTGTAACTCGGCCGTATCTTTGAAATAAATGCCTACAGCCGCGCGGTATACGTAAACATGCGATAGGGCTGCCTGCCTCCAGCATTTTTACATTTGCCTACTTTGCGTTTCCATTTAGTTTTATGATTGTAAATATACTTTTTTATATAAACAAATATAATAGGTACTTTACGAATTGAATAGGAAGTGTTCAATAAAAATGCGTGTCGTTTTTTGATTGGTAGATTTAAATAAAAACCATGTTTATGTTTGAATAACAAATCGGTCTTATGAATTTGCGACCGATAAATATTTGCGCCTCGGCTAAGACGTACGAAATGCTTTATTATTAAATTTTTAAATATAAAAAATCCGCATCCTAATATAAAGCTTAATTAAAAATTGTTTTGACAAGGTGGAGAAAAGGAATATCTTTTACTCGGATAAAGAGGTATCTTTAACCAAGTAAAAGATATTTTACAATTTATATTTTTGGTTTTAAATGAATTTCGGATTTATTTCTATTCTGTTATCTATTTCCTCCATTTTTTTATATATTCCACAAAATCATCACTGCGGCACAGTCACGACTGTCTGCATGCCGAGCGCATGCTGAGATCGAGGCGCGTAGGCATAGCTCTCGCTTCGTCCGTTTGTATGAAGTTGGAATACTGTATAGATAAAATTACCGTGGTACTGCGGTGCCAATGCCATATTGTGTCGGATATCCGGCCATAATAAAACAATTTTTAATTGTGTGTGCGCTGAATAAAGCATGCCAGAATTTATTTTTATTTATTCAAATACAAAAAAATTATAGAATAATTGCTGGTATTAGGAGGATATAATGATTTTTGGAGCACAAAATGACAAAATTATCGCCAACACTTACAATATGGCACAAATGTATGACGTCATATACAGTCCTATATTTTGGAACGAATCACCAGTATAGCGTCGATTCATGACGTCATTCGCATTGGACAGTACACTGGGTTCTATTTTGGAACATACCCTCAGTATAGAGCAGTTACAGTTCGACCATACCGCAACACGCCTCCACCACAATCGCACACCAGTGTAACGTGAAGAGACGTAATTACAAGATAACACCAAAGTATGCATACCAACAGCAACACTACACATCATACACCAACACAGAGCAGCCTCTCAGTAACACCATCTTCCTTGAGATGATTCACAAGCCTGCAATTTTACTCTTTCCCACCCTTCAAATCAAAATGCGGGAGTTTTTGCACTGCTAAAACAACAGAAATAGCATACTATCTAGCCCTTATCAACAATTACTGTCTAATATGAAAACACTAAGACTTCAGCAAACGGCTCAGGTTCAGCTAAGGCTTAGCTGACCAGGAACGGAGTAAGAATCAAAAGTAAAGTTATAACGTTACCTGATGAACTTTTAACAATTTTAACATTCTCATCCGATATAGACTCTAATTCACTATCAGATCTTTTTTGTCTGTCTATTGACGACTTTTGTTTATTTTTAGACCTTTTAAAAAACGGCATTTTGATATTACACTAATAATTTTACTTTAAATAATAAAATTACGAAAATTTTATACCATAACCTGATGGTTACGTCGATTTGTCTTTGAAAGCGAAGTTGCCAATTTGTATTTTTTTATATATTTCGTATTCGAAAGAGATTTGTGAAAAAGTTTTCAATTCCTTGTCAAAAATCAAGAGTTATTTGAATAATTTGCAACTCAACGTCAAAGATTTCTCTATTTTAATTTTCAATTAAATATGACAAAATTTTACATTAGTAAAGGTTTATATTTTATAACTATCTTTTTACCCGCGGCTTCGCTCGCATGTGCTTAAATTTGGAAACATCAATAATACTATTTCATTACACAATTAACAAAACTGGATGACTTGAAAAGACACGTCCTTATCTGTGTCTATATGTATCGTAGGAAATTATTAAAATTGGCAATATTATATGCTACAGAAACACACTATGGAAACACATAAGTGAGTTTATCAGAATTGCATTCAAGTCATACTCATACGTCTAACAGGGGAATCCAATTGATGAACGGGGGTATATTATATATATATATATATATATATATATATATATATATATATATATATATATATTATTTATACGTAAATGGGAATATATATATATATATATATATGTATGCCACTTTGCCTGGCGTATGTGGACTATGAGAAAGCCTTTGATTCCGTCGAAATTTGGGCGGTGCTACAGTCCCTTCAGCGGTGCCAAGTTGACTGTCGGTATATCGAAGTGCTGAAGTGTTTGTACAGTAGGGCTACGATGGCTATCCGAGTACAGAACCAGAGCTCGAAACCTATCCAACTGCAGAGAGGTGTAAGACAGGGTGACGTTATATCCCCGAAACTCTTCACCGCTGCATTGGAAGACGTTTTCAAGCTACTGGACTGGAAAGGATACGGTATTGACATCAATGGCGAGTACATCACTCAC